GATATTTAAATATCATTATTATTACTATTATATTAGTATTGTTAAAATAAATATTACTATTAATATTTTTGTTGTAATCACCTTTATTATCATTATTATGACTAATTAGTATTATTAAAGTAAATATTTGAAGACATGTCACTGGTGATTCACATCATTGGATGCATCCTTGTCACTGACGGGCTTCAAACATAGCCCCCAATGGTCGAATAAATATGAAGGACTGAAGTCTGTCACTCAACAATATCAATTGTTCCTATTGTGGATAATTGATAATAGATGCTGCACCCCACCTAATTTTAACGTACTGTAGGCCTAATTCTTGGGCGTGGTTCTGAAGAAAATAGTATCGAAATGCACACTATCGTGCATTCATTTGATTTTAGTCGGATTCAAAATAAATTTTTAACATTTAAAAAAAATCATAATGTAATTCTTTCATGATTAGGTCTACAGCATGTACTCATGTTTTATGTCAGTGTTTTAACGTGAACAAAATTAAAACATTAATATATTTGTTTTTCTTAATTAAGATTGCTTAAATTGTTAATGTTACAATTGTCCTGTAAGTGGCAGGTTTTCTCTGTTGAATAAGAGTACACTGTGAAGAAATGTATACAACGATCTCACGACGATGATCAGAATTTTACTAAAATATACTGTGTACTTCATTTTAATCATATTGAAGAAAAAGGATGCAGAAACTGGAATATTTACATTTCATTTTAATTATAAATAACTTGTGGCCGAGTTGACTTGTGACCGAGTTGACTTTTGGTCGAGTTGACTGCAGCCAAACTTTTTGTGGCGAGTTGACTTGTGGCTGAGTTGACTTGTGGCCGAGTTGACTTGTGGCCGAGTTGACCTGCTTCCCTACATACATACAGAAGCGATCGTAAAAGAAACACTAGGCCTAAACTAGCAAAATATGCATTGAGAAACAAAGCTAATAAAACTTTTGCTCTTGCAGACCGTGCATATAGTTTACAAAAACTATCAAACTATTTATAATATAATAACTGAACAGCGTACAGTACCTGCTAAAACGAACGAGCCTACACTTGAAATAAATCCAGACAAGAATGAGTTAAATGGGAACGTTCCAACAAGACAGCAGTAAGCAAACTGGATTATACCCGTTAAAAGAATATAAGTTAAATAGGCATCGATGATCTTCAATTTCTGTGGTGTTTTTGTCATGTATTCATTGTAAATTTTCCGTATCACTGTGGAAAGGTTAGCCGACATATTGATAAATTTGGGGTAAGCCTAGGCCTAAGCTAAGTAAAGATGACTGCAGTCACAGAAAGAGAACAGTAGCCCACTCGCTTGTTGACACACCACCACCGTACGTATCTGTTTAGTGAACGCGACGACGTGGAAAGGATATCGATCGAGAGTATGATGGGATATGTGTCCTCGCTGGGGGCGGTCGTCGTCGTAGTTGACAGTATTTTGTTGTATTTTTTCTTTATATCGGATTTTGTTTTAGTTACAGTAGTTTGCTTTCTTTTCTTTTGTATTCCCACTTCTATTGTTATTCGACCGCACCACACGAGTGTGTGCCACCGTTCCAAAGGTGAAGTGTCAATAAATAAATAAATAAACCACGCATGCTCCCATTTCACTAAAGTTTTGCTTATTTCTGGCATGAAAAATTTTTACATAAACATAAAATTACATCAATATAAAAATATAAATCTCAGCTGCTGTTGTCTCAAAGTGCTATCTTTTGCTTTCTTACAATTTTACATAAATATTAAAATAGATAAGTGGTTATAAGATTATTGCACAGGAAAACACACTTGTTCTTTGTGAAATCGTATACAGTTTCACCCTTCACTGTTTGGACCATTTTTCGGACCTGAAAATTGTTCACAGTCTTCGTTCATCTTGCAATACAGCACAAATTTGATGTCACAAAAAGTTTTCAGATAGGCCTACGAGCATTAACCGGTATAGTGTGATAATGACAGATTAAATGAAGTTTTCACATTGAAGTTTTCAGATCGTTTTACTGAAAACCTTATTGATACGTTGCAACCACCAGCTATCTATAGGAGTATTGAAG